CCCCTCAGCCCAGCCACCCTGCCTTGCAGCCCGTCGGCTATGGGCTGAAACCTCTACCTCCTGTGAACCCGAAGCGGCCTTTCCTCCTTCAGTTTGCGGGTGTTAGGTATCGCGTCTCCGTGCTGAGAAAGAAGCTCGCAGATGTGTTTAGTGGTAGTGTTTTCCTGAGGGCACTGGTGTCGCACCTTGTCTCGTGGGAGTCGAAACGTGACTCGCAGTTGTCTCTGCCAGTGTTTGCAGTTAGATTGTAGGGAGCAGAAATTGTGTTCCCGGTGCGTGCGATCCCGTGGACTATTCGGTTATCATCGTGCTGTCCCGTGTCTGTTGTGGCTGCATCTTAAAGATCCACTGTGCTGAGGACCAGCAGCTGTCCTCCTCCAGGGCAGTTTACCTTACTGTGGTTGTGGAAGCCCTCTGGCTCTTTGACACTTACTTTGGTCCCAGTTTTGGAGATAACAGGTTCCTTGAAGTGCCCTGCATACTGCGGTCACAGTACCCTAAGAGCCTCAGGAATGAGGACGGGTCAGAGCCACCTGCACAAGGCCTCGCCCATAAAACTCTCACCGTGCAGTATTTCTGCTAGAGGTGTGGTTAATAGCGCACCGTGGCCTCCATGTTCCTCCTGTCTCCTCCATCCGCGTGTCCTTTCTCCGCCGCTCCTTTCTCTCTTCTTTGGTTTCTTCTCTTTTCTTTTCTCTTTCCTTCTTTCAGAGATCTATAAAGGCTTAGAAGCTCTCGGGTCGTAAACCCCAGAAGGTGGCCCACTGGAGTACTCAGTGTGAGTTCTCCTTGTCCCTGAACGGTGACAGGCGTTGAGAAGCCACACGCGTGTCCCTCGTGTGCACTGGAAACGTCATCGTGTGGCCTTGAGCACTGCTGCAGATGGGTGATTTACATCGAGTCGTGTGTTTCGACCTCACGAAGGGTCACGCGTGTGGCAGTGACAGATTTTGAAAGAGCAGCTTCTGAAGTGCTTGGCATTTGTTATACAGCTGGCTGGTGGGTCCTTTGAGATGTGGGATGAAAGTAATAGCTTTGCAGAATGAACATTACAGGTCAGTCACGAGGCTCGGAGCAGGCTGGGACTCTACCCAACAGGAGTGAGGAGAGACCACCGAGCTCAGGAGAGAGGTGGACACCGAGCTCAGGAGAGAGGTGGACAACTCGCTGCCCATTCGCGTGTACTTAAACCTGGGAATTTTCCAAATGGGTTTTTGGTCTCCGACCATTCTCTCATAAGTATCAAGCATTGTTTCTCTTTGTGATTGTCACCATGAGAGCCTGGCTGTGTTGCTGGGGGTAAATGCACCAAATTTTAGTACAGCTGAGACCTGGCCCGGGAAATGTCTCCTCTCAAACTTCTGTGCTCGTTCACTGGGACACGTTACGTATTGCTTTCCTTGTTCCGTTCCTCAGCTTCTCCTGAATAGTTCTGTAGCTCTACCTCCTTTTGCTCCTAGTTGGTCCTCAACGGCTGTGGGTTTTAAGTCAGCTTGCTTTTTTGTTATTAAGAAAGAAGCATTCCTTCTCCGTCTTTTCTGGTGGACTGGAAAGTGGAAGTGCATGAGTTCACCGTTTGATTTTTAGTGACAATATTTAACCCTCAGCCTTCATTCCGTTTGTGTCCCAGTGGAGGACAGTGTGATCAAAAGCCTAGGTGTGCGCAGCTTCGGACCCGACGGATGCTCTCACAGGCCACAACTCTGCCGGAAGAGTGAGTTTCACTGTGTGTCCCCCGGTCCCCGCCATCACCTCTCGGGCCAGGCTCCTCTCTTCCCTCTTTGAACACACTTGGCACACGGTCGAGAGTCCTGCTCTAAGGTACCTAGTGCTCTGCTACGTGAGCAGCGTTCCTGTTGGTTCTCCGTCCTGTATCTTCTCAAAGGCGAACACGAAAGCCACTTACTTCTCTCCAGGAGAGCGTGGGAGTGTATACCACGAGTCGGTGGGTGTGTGTGCATCACCTTGAATGCTGTCTTGTCTCTGTGTGATCTTCTGCCCTACCCGCCTCCCGCGCACACTGCTTGCTGGCTGTCTGGAGACCTCACGCTTTCAACTGTACTGCTTTGTTCACTGCGCCCATTTGGGGAATTCTCATGTTTCTATTTTAGAATGTGGGTAACCATGTAAAGTTTCTTTCCATGTGGCAATTTAATGTTTATATATTTCACAATTAATTTTATTCTCATAAAGAAACTTTTTTTGTATGAGGATCGAACTTAGAACCTTGCTTATGCAAGGCAACTGCCACTGAGCGAAATCCCCGGTCCCCCTCATAAAATCTTGCCCAAAGAAAGATCTGCCCTTTGCTTTCGTCTTCTGAGAGGTAGACCCTGGGCTATTAGACCATGCCAGAGTGTCTAACCGTGTGATTTTCTTTTTTTTTAATTGGTACCAGGGATCAAACTCGGGACCCCGTGCCTGTGAGGCAGGCAGTGTCACCACTGAGCTAAGTCCCCGACCCCCTCCTAAAATCTTTAGGTGAGTTTTAACAATAACAACGTAAATATCGCAGCAACCCTCAGAATGTTTGACAACTGAGCCCTGGGCCGGATTAAGAGTATCGAGGTGAAACGCGATTACACGCGTCCTCTCTCCCCCGAGGACAACCCCTGTCCTGTTTCTTGTGGCGTTTCGTATGAATTTACCATATGTAGCTGTCCCTCTGCGGTGTTGGTCTAGTGTTATCACCTGCAGGTGTTCCGTAAATCAGCCCTCCAGAAATCGCACAGAAAAGCATCACGGGAGATGGTTTGGCCGCGGTGTGAAGAGGAGGACGTGGCTGTGGAGTGCGCCGGTTCCTCCTTCGCTTCGTCCCACGTCTCCCTGCCAGTGTGTCTCTCTTCTGCCTGTTTCCTCTCACAGGGCCGTGGATCTTCCTTTTATTTGGTGTTTTCTCTTCAGGTCTCCATGCTGCACCCTCGTTCCCTATGTGTGCATTTCTTCCTTGGCACACGTATTCTTCTCCTTTCGTACACTACAAACACTCTTTAATTTTCTCATCTGTTTTACCTTCCATGATTGACATAGCTTTCACTTGGTCATAACCCAAAGGCCGAGAAGTGATGACGTAGGTTTTAATATCTCCTTCTCCTCGGATAGCTTCGTGAATTTCTTCTGGGGAAACACTGTTTCCAAAAGTATTCAAGTTTATGTTTTCGATTTCAAGTAGTAGTGGAATTATTATTGACGGCCTATGAAGAATGAAATAGCTCTCTCTCCCTGCTTCCTGGATGTCCCAGGTCGTCATTTGTGCTGTTTAGGCCCTAAGCCCCCGATCCTACATCAGTGTTCTGTTCCGGCTCGATCTAGATCTCCCGCATGGGTCTTTTCGAGGCTGCTGGAACTGCGGTGTGTGGCGCTGGGATTGATGCGCACTGTGCAGCTAGGAGTGAGGGTGTGGGTGCCCACCAGGCAGACCAGGGAAGGTAGGAGGGGCACAGGGAGCTCTTGTCACCTGCCACCACTGCTTGCTCATTTTGTTGCCTTCTGCCGGCCGCGGCCTGTTTCTCCTCTGTGATCCCCTCTGCCACGTCTCACTGGTGTGGAACCAACCCATTAGGCACTGAAACCTCTTAACACCGTGAGTCAGAGTAAACCTTTCCTCCTTTCATGTTAGCTGTTTGGTATTTTTGTCCCAGCAATGAGGAGAAAGTAAACATAGCCTACTCTAGTCACTTTGACAAGTGAATTATCTTCTTTTTCTGTGGTCTGTTTGTCATTATTCCTAGTGATGGAACACTGCCCTAAATAGTGGATTTTGAAAGTCTTTCTCCAGGGACAGGGATTTAGCTCAGTAGTTCCAGCACCTGCCTCGCAAGCACAAGGACCTGAGTTCGTTCCCCGGTACCAAAGAAATAAATAAAAAAAATAAAGTTGCCTCTTTGAAAGTCTTTTCTCCATACCTTAAAGAAGTAAACAATTATTTTTTCACCTTTCCCTTCATGATTAGTGCCTGTTAAGTTTGCAAAATATGGGTGATCAGAACATTTAATATGTAGTTTCATCAAATCTATCCCCTAATTTCTTTCTCATCTGCCACCTTTCAGGTTACACAGCCGTAGGGTACTATGGCTTCCTTAATCTAATTTCTTTGTTCTTAGACATTCTGCAGTAAATATTGTAATTTTTCATTAACTTTCCAAATTATTCAGAAATGTTGCTTGCTGTTCAATTAAAGCTTCGTCTGTAAGACCAGGTTGAAGTTTCAAAATGCTGTAAGAATAGAGAAGGAGGAGATCAACTCTCTGAAATTAAGTTGACACAAAGGTGTTTTCTATAATCTCTGAGAGTAATTCTTCAGATATTTATCTACCTTACTTTTTTCACTTGCGTACTGATTTTATTTTCATCTTCTGTGAACCATGCTTTAGTGACAGTGTACAGTGAATCTGGGTCTAACCAGCAGGAGAAGCGGTGTTCCCATTCCACTGTTGCTGTAGCAGTGAGTTCCAGTGTGACATCAAAATTGCTGTGTGACCTCTGCGTGTGGATGGAGGATAGAGGTTTGATGATCAAGACATCAAGGAAGCATTTGGAAAACTCAGCCTCTATCGGCTGTGTATGAGGAGAGATGAGACGGTTCATGTTGTGAATCTCACGCTTCTTTGTGGAAACACATGTGTGATGATTTAGGAGGCTGTGACCTTCGAGGATGTGGCTGTGAACTTCACCCAGGAGGAGTGGACTTTGCTGGATCCATCGCAAAAGAAGCTCTACAGAGATGTGATGTGGGAAACCTTTAGGAACCTGGCTGCCATAGGTAAGGAAGACTTCGTTTCCTCGTGTTTGCAATCAGAGAGCGTTGGTTGGTGCTCACCAGTGCAGTTTCCTTAACTGGAGGGTGGAAATGTTCTGATGCATCTTGCAGGTGTGGGCACATTTTACCGAGAATCTAACTGGAAACTGCTGATTTTCATATAATAGGTTGTCATGATATTTCTGTGCCTGCACTTTAGGAAGAAGCTCAAGTGACCAGCACATTGAAGATGAGTACAAAACTTGCAGGAAAAGTCTAAGGTAATTTGCGCTAAGGAGAAGAATGTTCCTCCAGTGTCAGAAATATTAAAACCAAGCAAAGCATAGAAACAAGGCCATGTTCAAATTTCTTTCATCTCACAAAATTTCTCCAAGGATCTACCCACATTGAATCTCTAATATGACAATTATTTGAAATATTCCACTTTCTGAATTATAGGTGATTATGCCAAAAGTGACATCTTTGGTCTAATGTAAAAGAACACACAGCCAGGCCTGTTGGCACCCAGAGAAGCTTAGGCAGGAAAACTTTGAGACCTCGCAGGTTTGAGGCCAGTGTGGACCATACAGAGAGTTCCTGGCCAGCCTCAATAAAGAGTGAGATGCTGTCCCAAAAATCAAGAGACCACAGAAGTTCTGTTCCATGGGCAAAAGTATAATTAGGCTGAATGAAATTGCATCTTTGAGCCGGGTGTGGTGGCACACACCTGTAATCCCAGCGCTCAGGAGGCTGAGGCAGGAGGATCACTGTGAGTTTGAGACCAGCCTGGACTACATAGTGAGTTCCAGGTCAGTCTCAACTACATACTGAGACCCTGTCTCAAAAAAAAAACAAAAAAACAAAAAACAAAAACAAAATTGCATCTTTATCATTCAGTACAGGGGTATATAAACCACAGTTTGTGTGTACTGTGAGAGCCAAGTTCTACTTTTATGTATATATGTATGTATGTATATGGGTTTTTTTCTTTGTTTGTTTGTTTTGGGGTTTTTTTGGTACTAGGGATTGGACTCTGGTCCTTGGGCTTGCAAGGCAGGCAGTGGAACCACTTAGCTAAATCCCCAATCCTATATGTATTTGTTTGTTTGTTTGTTTGTTTCTTGATACTGGGGATCAAACTTGGGACTTTATACTTGCAAGGCGGGCGGCGGAACCACTGAGCTAAACCCCAGTCCCTATACATGTGCTTTGGAAAGACCACTTTCATATCAAATTGTGTTTGTGATAGTTCATATAGTTAATTATGAAATACAGATTCAGTATTTGAAAAATTGCTATCATTGTAGATTTACTCAAAGTCCAACTAAATGCTCCTGTTCTGATTGTAGTTACTTTAAATCCTTCGGACCACACAGCCAATTTGTTCGAAAGGGTTGATGGGGCTGTCAGTGTGGTATCACATCTAGGGAAATGTGCATAGAGATCCCATTTATCCAGCTGTAGTTTTACTGTATCTGTTCCCCACAAAGTGAAAGTAATCAGAGCTGGAGATTTAGCTCAGTGGTTCTGCTGCCTGCCTTGCATGCCCAAGGTCCCCAGTTTGATCCCCAGTATCAAAAAAAAAAAAAAAACACAGAAGTGAAAGTAATCTTACTACAGTGGTGCATAAATACCCATATGTAACAGCACAACTTAGAAAAGCTTAAGCTCTCAAAAAAAGATGAGGGAGAAAATGAGGACCAAGACCTGTCATGTAAAGTTATAAGATCCCAATGATGAATGTAACTGTACTGTATACCTAAAATGTACCAGTAAACTCAGTGAGGGGGGAAATAAAAAGCTGAAATGCACATTCATATGAGGAGTTAATTGAGGAAGTATAGGATAGCCTGGGCGTAAAGGGGCCGGCGTGGAATCCCAGCAATCTGGGAATATGAGTCTGGAAAAGCGTTCGTTCATGCTTAGCCTGGGCCACATAATGATTCGTGAAGCTCGTTTTCGTTTTGGTACCGGGGATCAAACTCTGGACCTTGCACTTGCAAAGCAGGCGGTGGCACCACTGAGCTAAATCCCCGGCCCTCATGAGGCTCTTTTTCAAAGTAAAATTAAAGGATCCCATGCATATATTACAGTGCCAAAACATTGGCTTCAACTTCCAACACTGAAAGCCACGTGAAGTGCACGGCGATGGGATGGTATTGATCCGTAGAACGAAGCGATGTCATTTACCAAAATATGGATGGGTCTTGTGCTGTTAAATAAGTCAGGAACAAAGTTTACGTGGGAATTCCAGCTGGGATTAGTTCAGTGGTTCTGCTGCCTACTTCTCAAGCAAAAGGACCCGAGTTCAATCCCTGGTACCAAGAAAAGAAAAAAAACAGAGAGAGAGTGAGAGACACATACATGGGAATTCCAACACATGAATTAAGGAGCAGAACAAAGGAGAGATGGTAGAAAAGAGAGAGCAGAGCATTTTGAGAGGATGAAGAGGCTGGGGGAAGTGGGAGGGCACGCAGTCACGGAAGGAAAGGCGTCAGTCAGTACGTGCGGCACGGTTCTGTTCTGCCAGCATGTCCGTTACCAACTCCCACACGGATCTCATGCATCTTACTGTTTCCAAGCCACCATCCAGAGTGTACAGTAAATAATTCTGAGGGGACATCAGGGCAGATCTCATGGTAAATCATTACTACAGTCACTTTTAAATGTGATTGGTTGTTTTGTTACTTTTCCCTTCTACAGAAGTGGAGAGGGACAGAAATCCTGTCAATATAAATTACGGTACCAAGGTGGAGAAATGGTGGTTCATCTTCCAGGTACAAATGTGTGCATGAAACTCCTACGTATAAATCCAGGTGGGAGCCTCTGCCCTAGAAGGCACCTGACCGGTCCTTCCTCAGCAGATGGGCCCGTCACAGCCAACGCTGGACTCAAATCACCTGAGCAGCAGGGATTTCAGGAGAGGCTGTCCAACCGTAACACACATGGGAAAACCTGCCCGATTCTTCAGTCCTTACAGATACGTGTCGGGACAGCTCTTGGGGAGAAACCCCATGAACTTATCCCACCTGGAAACTCCTACTCTGGTTGCACTGGTGAAAGTGCCACTGAAGAGAAGCCATTTGTACACAAGCAAGATGCGAAATCATTCGTTACACCCGGCGATGCCCAGATCAGGGAAGGAGGTCACAGTGAAGGGAACACGTATAGATGTCTACCACGCGGAACAGGTCTTAATCCTCACTGGGATATTCAGACACTTGAAAAACCTGATGTTGGAGGAAAACACTACGGAAAATCTTTCACTAAAAACACTCCATGTAATCACGAAAGAGCTGTCGTGGAGGAGAAACCCTATGTATGTAAACAATGTGGGAAGACTTTCCGCACATACACTCACTGTCAGAGACATGAGCGGACTCACACTGGGGAGAAACCCTACGTGTGTGAGCAATGTGGGAAAGCGTTCAGCAGACAAGATAGCTGGAGACTACATGAAAGGACGCACAGTGGTGAGAAACGTTATGTATGTAAGCAGTGTGGGAAAGCTTTTCACACACACAGTCATTGTCAAACACATGAACGGATTCACACTGGGGAGAAACCCCATGTATGTAAACAGTGTGGGAAAGCTTTCAGCAGACCCAGTAATTGTCAGAGACATGAGCGGACTCACACTGGGGAGAAACCGTATGTATGTAAGCAGTGTGGGAAAGCTTTCAGTACACGTGCTGTTTGTAAAACACATGAATGTACTCACACTGAGAAAAAACCTTACGTATGTAAGCAGTGTGGGAATGTTTTCACCACACACAGTTATTTTCAAATACATAAAAGGATTCACTGTAGGGAGAAACCCTATGTATGTAGACAATGTGGAAAAGCTTTCCACACGCAGAGTCATTGTCAAAAACATGAATGGATTCACGCTGGGTTGAAACCCTATGTATGTAAGCAGTGTGGGAAAGCATTCAGCACACGTGCTGTTTGTCAGACACATGAACGGATTCACACTGGGGAGAAACCCTATGTATGTAAGCAATGTGGGAAAGCTTTCAACACACACAGTAATTGTCAAACACATGAAAGGACACACACGGGGGAGAAACCTTATGTATGTAAGCAGTGTGGGAAAGCTTTCAGCAGACCTGGTAATTGTCAAACACATGAAAGGACTCACAGTAGGGAGAAACCCTATTTGTGTAAGCAATGTGGGAAAGCTTTTAGCACACATACTATTTGTCAAAGACACGAACGGACTCACACTGGGGAGAAGCCCTACCATTGTAAGCAATGTGGGAAAGGTTTCCACACACACAGTAATTGCCAAACACATGAGCAGAATCACACTGGGGAGAAACCTTATGTATGTAAACAGTGTGGGAAAGCTTTCAGCACACAGGGTAATTGTAAAACACATGAAAGGACTCACACTGGGGAGAAACCCTATGTATGTAAACAGTGTGGGAAAGCTTTTAGTAGCAGAGGTACTTGTCAAATACATGAAAGAAGTCACACTGGGGAGAAACCTTATGTATGTAAGGAATGTGGGAAAGCATTCAGCACATATGGTACTTGTCAAACACATGAACGGACTCACACTGGGGAGAAACCCTATGTGTGTAAGCAGTGTGGGAAAGGTTTCAGCACTGACAGTCATTGTCAGAGACATTTTCAGACTCATACTGGGGAGAAACCCTATGGATGCAAGCAATGTGGAAAAGCTTTCAGCACACAGAGTTATTTTCAAATACATGAAAGGAGTCACACTGGGGAGAAGCCCTATGTATGTAAGCAGTGTGGGAAAGCTTTTAGTAGTAAAGGTATTTGCCTAATACATGAAAGAAGTCACACTGGGGAGAAACCTTATATGTGTAAGGAATGTGGAAAAGCGTTCAGCACATATGGTACTTGTCAAACACATGAACGGACTCACACTGGGGAGAAACCCTATGTATGTAAGCAATGTGGGAAAGCTTTCAGTGCATATGGTACTTGTCAAACACATGAACGGACTCATACTGGGGAGAAACCCTATTTATGCAAGCAATGTGGAAAAGCTTTCAGCACACGGGCTTACTGTCAAAGACATGAACGGACTCACACTGGGGAGAAACCTTATGTGTGTAAGCAGTGTGGGAAAGCTTATAGGACACACACTCATTGTCAGATACATTTAAGGACTCACACTGGGGAGAAACCCTATGTATGTAAGCAATGTGGGAAAGCTTTTACTAGACAAGATAGCTGGCGAATACATGAACGGATTCACACTGGGGAGAAACCCTACGTATGTAAGCAATGTGGGAAAGCTTTCAACACACACAGTTATTTTAAAATACATGAAAAGACTCACAGTAGCAACAAGCCCTATGTATGTAATCAATGTGGGAAAGGTTTCAAAACACATAGAAATTGTCAAAGACATGAAAAAGCACACTGTGCAAATGCTTTGTATGCCAGCAATGTGTGAATGTATTCGGTGCACAGAGGTATTGTCAGATACATGACAAGGTATATTTGTGAGAAGGCTGTGTGTAAACAGGAAAACTTACTGCAGTAAACATCATGTATGTTAGCAAATGAGTAATATAACTGAATTCAGGGCCGGGGATTTAGCTCAGCGGTTCAGTGGTCTGCCTTGCAAGTGCAAGGACCCAAGTTCAATCCGTGGTACCCCCCCAAAAAAAGTAAAATAACTGAATTCATAAAGTGACTTAACACTGATATGAATCTGCCTGGGAAGATTCTTTTCATGTAAACAGTATGAAACCGTTTTTACTCCACACAGGCATGATTAAATACATGTAGGAATTCATAGTTCAGAACTGGAACATGTGTGAGCAATGGGGGAGAGTTGTTTTTTCTCAGAAAACATGTATGAAAGAATTCACATGAAAGGTTTGTATGTGGAAACCCTTCAGTGCTTTCACTTAGCGAGAAATATATGAAAGAAATCCCACTAAAGAGAAAGCCTGTTTTAATAATGTAAGAAACTTGTGATGCCCATAATATAAGAAACTGCATTTTAAGAGTTAGTATAAATAAGGAACATAAGAAATCTTCATTTTTACCTAACTTTTCATGACCTACAGCATTCATAGTGGAACGATTCGTATCAATGAATGTTACATGGGAACCCGTGTAATCACTTTGGTTTAATTCACATTGCAAATAAACCCAGTATTGTGAGAAACATTTTAAGATCAGGGCCGTACACAAGTCATTGGTTGTAGTGTCTGGAAGAATGAATATTGTATGTCATCCCTACAAATGTAGAAAGCTCTCAGTTATAACTCATATTCCAAATCCTCTGAGCACTTTTCGTCTCATTTAAACCTAAAAGCTAAGTCACCCACAAAAGTAGATGTCAATTATTTCTCCAGAAAATACCCAAGCAGAGTGTGTGTGTGTGTGTGTGTGTGTGTGTGTGTGTGTGTGTGTGTATTGAATTCAATTTGAAAGTTGATCTCTTGGGCCAGGGATTTAGCTCAGTGGTTCTGCTGCCTGCCCCGCAAGCTGAAGGGCCCGAGTTTGATCCCTGGTACCAAAAAAAATTTGGCTGGGCACGGAGGCACACGCCTGTAATCCCAGTTCTTGGGAGGCTGAGGCAAGAGGATTGCTGTGAGTTCGAGACCAGCCTGGGCTACATAGTTAGTTCCAGGTCAGTCTCAGCCATATAGTGAGTCCCCATTTCAACCCCCCCCCCAAAAAAAGTTGATCTCTTCATACCAGAATCATAAGTTCAGTTTTAAGAGTAAATGTTATGGTCACATAATTCTGTACGTTCTTGTAAGCAATAGCATGGGGTTTCAATATTGTATCTTAAATGAGGTGGTAATTGTCTCCTTTATTTTTTCACTGTGTTACACGCAGAAGTAGACTTGAGTTGTATTTCTTACAGCCCAGGAGTCTGAATACTTTGTAGGTTATTTTTTTCTTTTGCTTCTAATACTTGCGGGTTAATAGGAGTATAACATTTAATTTTATTTGAGTTGTTATTTTTCCACTAGTTGTTTTTTTTTTTTTTAACATGGTTTTTGGTTTTGGTTTTGGTTTTATTGGTACCACGGATCAAACTCAGGACCTTGCAGTTCTGAGGCAGGCAGAGGCACCACTGAGCTAAATCCCCGGCCCTTTCTTTGTACTTTGATACATACATACAGTCTGTCATGCTAGCAGGGATTTTTCAATTGGATGTCATATTTTGTACTTTTATTGCTCATTTCTATATGTGTATTTAAGAGTTTATCTCTTTTCAAACATGTACATTAGCAAATAACATTTGTTTCGTATTCTAAGACATCTGTCTGTAGCCCAACATAATTACAGATTATATGCAGTGCATAATTTTGCCTGATTTTCTCTGCATCAGTGCTCTTATGTGTGTAGAATGTTATTTATTTTTATCATTAAATTTTGCCTTTCATGTGTGTATTGTGATGATTTATATTATTGATAATTTTTCAATCCACTTGCAAAACTGCCTGCATTTCTGTGAACTCAGCCTGCCAGAGAGCAGCAGCACATAGTTTTGCTCAGCATATCCATGAATTGTAGTCATTAATCTCTACAAGGTGTGTACGCTCGTGTGTTTTGTCAGCCAGAACATTCTCAGGAGTTTCTAGCAGTGGTGAAGTTTGTTTGGAAACAATGATTTCTATTTGTTCTAATGAAGCAGAGTCTTTATTCTAGTTTGTTGATGCTACAAATAGCATGTTTGTTTTTTTGTTTGTTTTTTGAGATAGGGTCTCACTATGTAGTTGAGACCTGCCACCATGCCTGGTTTAGCATATGTGTTTGGATAGATTTTTTTTTAAGCTAGGAATCAGTGCTCAAAAAACAAAACAAAAGCCGGGCATGGTGGCGCACACCTGTCATCCCAGCACTGGGGAGGCTGAGGCAGGAGGATCGCTGTGAGTTCGAGACCAGCCTGGGCTACATAGTGAGTTCCAGGTCAGTCTCAACTACATAGTGAGACCCTGTCTCAAAAAAACAAAACAAAACAAAACAAAAAATGCTAGGAATCAGTGAGTAAAAAGGAGAAAAGGAATAAGTTTTTTGATTCATCTGTGTTCTGTTTTTTCAACTTCAGAGATAAATTTACGGTGGGTTTTGTACAAACTGTCAGTGTGAGACCGGCCGGCACCCTTGATTTACTTTGCCTTCTTGCTTCCTATTACTGCAGTGCTTTGTGAAATACTCTGCCTTGGGTTTTTTTGTTTTTTTGCTTTTTTTTTTTTTTTGCACCGGGGATCAAACTCGGGTCCTTGCGCTTGCAAGGCAGGCAGCGGAACCACAGCTAATCCCTGGCCCATATTCTGCCTTGTTTTTCCTTCATGCAGCAGGTGCTCACTTTGCCATGGCGGCGTTTCAGTAATTCAGGGTCCAAACATAAGTGACAAATGCATTAAGTAGCCCTCGAGAACAGTGGACTTTGTCTCACCTACCTTCGTTATACTTAGTTAAATTAGCTGTTGGGTGGGCAGTAGTATAAAAACCATGTGTTATTTGTTTGCTAAGTTTGCTGTTTTCGTTTTTTGTTACCTGGGATGGAACTAGGGCCCTTGTGCTTACGAGGCAGGCGGTGGAACCACTGAGGCAAATCCCAGACCCAAAGTTTGCATTTTTGAGACGGAGTCGCAAAAAAGCCTATAGCCCAGGCTGGTTTCCAACTCACAGCAGTCTTCAGCTTTCCAAGTGCTGGGATTACAGGAAATCACCACCACACCTGACAAAAACATGTCTGTTTTATGATGAAATATTAAATGTCTCGTCTGCTTCATGAACTGCACTGCATTGCAGACAGTAGTGTTGGCTTTTGCTTGCTTGACCGTGAGTTAATTTTACTGCTCCTCGCTCTTTCTCACCATTGTGAAGATGTTGGGTACTAGAGGAAAGGTGGAAACATCTCGTTTTATCCTGAGCTGAGCGTCTTTATTTCTTAGCATCTCAGTATCGACAAGTCTGGCTGTTGCAAGAGGTTCGTGTCTCATCCACCCACTCAGGAAGCACGGGTGAATTACGTGATTAAATCAACCTGTGCATCTCAGTGTAACCTGTGTCAAAATCAAACAGGAAAAGCTACGGGAGTAGCTGAGTGTATTCATGTCCGCGGGTAAACCCTGCGTTTTCTCTGCCAGGAATCTTGGCACACGCCTGTGAGCCCAGCACATGGAGGTGATCCCCGTGACTTACAGCTCATCCTGGACGATGCGGTGAGCTCAAGGCCACGCTCAGCAGTGCGGTAACGATGGAGTTCCCTGCGAGATAAAACGGCCCCAATCCTACATCCTAAATCGCTCTTCCCGGTGGATAAATCACTCCGGGGAAACAAAGGCCCGACTTCCCTGCCACAAAGCTCTCCCGGTCCTCCCTGCCGCTGAGAAAGTTAAACTGGCCGTGGATTTGAACC